AGGTGGCAATCAGCAAAGGGTGATCTAATTTGCACTAGCAGGCAGAACTCCAAGAGCAACAAGGAGGGGAAGGGATGTTGACCAGGTCAGGAGATGAACTCAGACAAGGAATTGCCCATCCTGCTGGTCTGTTTGACCAGGAGCAGAGACAGAGCAGCAGGTCCTAGATGGGCAATGCAGGAACAGGGTGGATTTCACAGTCCATTCAGCCCCCTAGAGCTGAATCAGGTGCCATTTTTTCTAGAGCGAAAAAGCTATAGACAAGACTGAGCATTCAATGAGCTGGTAGTGATCTCATTTCTCACTCAGCGAACTACAACAACGTAGCATTCTACAGGTTTCAACCAAGACAAGTCTGGGTAGCCCTCAGACTTGACAGCCAGCAGATCAAGAACTCTAGTAGTAGTACATTAAGTGCCATTTTGTACAGTGTGGAAAAGGCATTGAAACAGCAGAGACAACAGTGAGCTGTGCATGTGGTGAGCTAGAAAGAACTCACTGAGCTCAGTGCACTGCACTGGTTCCACAGAAAAATAATACTGCATATGGCATCATATGGGTCAAAATAGGTCCGGTGGTCCTCAGACCTAACGGCCAATAGGTTCTGGCAAGATCAGTACCAACAACAACCTACTAGACAGGACACCTGGTGTCTCCCTAGTCCTGGCACGTGCTCCAACTGAAGTGGGAGAAAAGTTGTACAGACAACAATACAGCTTCAGCATGGGATCACAGGAGATGGAGAGTAGTGAGCCAGGAGCTGGGGCTACTGAGACCATGATGAAAATCTAACGTAAGAATCCACACCTGGAACTTGCTGGAGGGAGTGGCACAACTGACTACAAACAAAGAGCTGTGTACCAACTGCAATAAGTAAAAACGAATTGAAGAGATGTTGGTGATAGAGCTTAGAAAACTTCCCCAAGGAAAAGAATCTGCTAACCAGAAGTACAATGACCAAGAGCAAAAGAAGAGACAGAGGCACAATTTATATTACTGAAGACTCCCCTGCAAAGGAATAAAAGCCTTTGCCAACCTCAGAGTTCACTGAGGAAGACATCAAGAAAATGGGGGATACAAAATTGAAAACACTTCTTATAAAGCTTCTTATCAACAAAGAGAAGCATGTAGTACAGGAGTTCAAGAAATTTAATGAGTATGTCACACTGGAAATGAATCAAATGAAGGCTGATAAATCAAAAATTAACAATACAGTGGAGCAAACTAAAAGTGCAGTGAAGAGTCTCCAAAATAAAATGAAGGAGGCAGAAGAAAGAATCTCAGAATTGGAAGATATTTCCTGTCACCAGGGGGAAGCAAACAAAAAGCTGGAAGCAGAGCTGGGTCAAACTAAAATAGGTATATGAAACAATAAGGGAAAATTTCCCTAATCTAGAGAAAGAATTGGGAAGCAACATCCAGGAGGAACACAGAACTCCCAACAAGGTTGACCAAAAGCAATCTTCACCACGATACATGATAATCAAGCTCTCTTCAATTGAACATAAGGAAAAGATTCTTAAATGTGCATGTGAAGAAAAAACAATAGACATAAAATAATGCCAATTAAACTTACAGGAGATCTCTCACAGGAAAATCTACAGGCCAGTAAAGAATGAAGTGACATATTCCAGATTTTAAAAGCAAAACATTGTTAGCACAGAAGAACATACCCAGCAAAGCTTTCCTTTGTCTTTGAAAATCAAATAAAATTCTTCTACAGTAAAGAAAAGTTAAAAGAATATGCCTCTTCCAAACCTGCCCTACAAAGGACACTTAAAGGTGTTCTCTTGACAGAGAGAAGGAATAGCACCCACCAAAACCAAAGGCAAATGTGAAGAACATCCCAGTAAAATGACAACAGAAGACTTAATCAATTAACAACCCATTACTAAAATGAGAGGACCAAATTATTACCCATTCATATAAATACATTCATAACCCTGAATGTAAATGGATTAAATTCATCAATTAAACATTGTAGATTAGTAGACTGGATTAAAAAAACAAAACCCATCTATTTATTACCTACAGTAGACACATCTCACCAACAAAGATCAGTAGAAACTATATCTCATAGATTTTTTTTGCTTCATCTGTTCAAAACACCTTCTCTCATTAAACTCTACATTGACTCATAGATCATACAGCAGCATTATTTTCTTCAAGAAGATTCTTGATTTTCTTATTTCTTCAGTGACACATTAGTCATTCAGCAGCATGTTATTTAACTCCATGACATTGTTAATTTCTTCTTTCTTCTGTTGATTTTCTATTGTGGGTCTTCATTTTAGGGGATGTATAGTAACTGTGTCATGGATACTATCATATCCAGATATAAAGATACAATGCAGTTTGCATCTCTTTTTCCAGAGCAAAGTTGGACTCGCAATGAAACTGTTAACTATATCTTAACAATAGGATGCTGGACTCTCTGCCGTTGTCCATGCCTGCAATGATGGACATATGACTGTCTATGAAGAACTATATACTACAGTAATAATATAGTGGAACTCAATAAGCAGGGGTAGGGAGTTTGGGAAGGAAGGAACGAAAATCCCATGGCCTATGAAACTATCAGAAAATGAAAATAATAAAATAATAATTTTTTAAAGATACAATATGAAGACTAGCTTACCTGTGGCAGAACACCTGGGAAGGCAAGGTCACTAACAAAGTGAATGGAAAGATGACAGCTGAAGCTTTGTGCAAGTCATTCTAATTTATTGATTCCTATTACTGTAACAATTTATAAGAACTTAGGGGTATAAAACCCATGGGAGCCACAGATTGAAAGTGACTTTCGCACTCATAGATTTCCTCCACAGACCTCTTGAGGTGCTAAGAGAAAGAGCATGGTAAGTGTAGGAAGAGAAGTCTTTCTATGGATGCTCAGATCTTTGAGATAGCAACAAGAGCCTCTATCTGCTGAAGAAAAGCAACAAGAGCTATTGGAGCACAACTGAAGACCCCCTGCAGCTGGAGGAAGGAAACAGAAAATCCCTCTTCTCTTAGGAAAAGGGCAAGAATTTCCTCAGAAGAACTGCCACAGGCAGAGCCAGAGTTTGTGTACATTTTAAAGATATTCAAATGGATAATGAACATGTGAAAATGTGCATGGCATATTTAAATATAAACTAAAACTGTAATAAAATACCAATACTCAGGTCACCAAAATAAAATTAAATATTGGCAGTTCCACAGTTGGTAAAGATGTGAAGCAATTGAAACTGCTTTTAAGCTTGCACGACCCTTTGGAAAAATATTTCTGTGTTTACAAATGTTAAAAGCACTTGAATCTTCATAACCCAGTATTCTGTTTTAACTATTCAACAGAAATTGGTAGACAAGTTCGTAAATTTTCACAGCATCATCACCATTACATCATGATAGCAAGTCTGAGATCAATCAAGTAGTCATCAACAGGAAACCATACACATGTATTGTGGTATATGTGGTATATATTATAATCAAATATTATATAAAAACCAAATGATAAATAACATGCAACAAGGATGAAACAGGTACAATGAATGCAAGAAATACAAAAGAGCATACACTTATAACTTGCTCTGCTTGAAGTTCTGTATAGAAAAAGTTCATCTAAAGTGATGAATTCGGAAGAGTTATTATAGGTTGGGGGTAGTGTATACTGAGAAGATCCATGAGGAAGCTTCCTGCGTTGCAGGCAATGTTCTATATCTTAGTCTCGGTGGTGTTCACTTGGAGGTAATCACCAAAGCGTCATCCCAATAGCATATTGTACTATTAACTGCATGTAGGTTTAACTTAATGCAATACAATACACAGAAAATTTAGCAGCATAGCTCAAGAGCTAATGATAATGCGTGCAAATTGAGTAAGCACAGAACAGGAATACAGTATGAGGACATGTCATAGCCCCTGACCCTGGGTTTGTGGTCAACTTGAAGATGGATATGAAACATGAATTAACTCTAAGTAGATCAACTTTGATGTAGCTTCTATTCCCATTAGGTTCCATGCTCATGCAATGGAAACAATTAAAGAAAAAAAAAAAAGAAAGAAATGCAGAGAGGGCATTTTTCCCACTAATGTTTTCAAACAGACATTGTGTTTTTAAATGCTAATTACTGATATCACATTTTGCTTACCAAGATACTTTTTCTACATAAAAAAACCCCACCAAAATGTCTTATTCTACCATCAATCTTACACTACATTATTTGTCAATAAATCAAGATGTGTGTTTTCCACAAATATATACATTTATACACAAACACACAGAGACACACACACAGATATTATATCAATACAATTTGTTTTCAGTGGCCTCTGCCAACACTCCTAGGGAGACCAGATCTACATCAAGCCTCTAGCGCTTAGACACCTGTGACAGGTCTGAAAGATTCAGTTGCTCGCAACATAGCAGCTGTTCTAAGTTGCAGACCTGCCATGGAGGCAGCTCCTCTCTATTCCCTGTGGGCTACCCACAAATTTTTCCAAACCATCCTCTAGTCACCTTTATTGAGTCTAAGGAAGAAGAAAAATTCATTTACTTAACTACGTTTTGCTGAGCACTCACTTGCACATAGTCTAGCAATATGCCCCAACACATCTCCATGCAAAACTTTTTTCCACTTGCAAGTCTTTACCTCTTACAGCTCACTGATGTGTGAGATCTAAGAAGCTTTGTACCAATGTCAGATATTTGACAATTGGTTCTAGATTTGAGGCTAGCACCTTTCTCTGGTGCTCAGTATGTATAGATGATGTCAGATGTCTTTATTAAAACTTCAATATTAACATCCTGTCATAATAACTTTAGGTTAAGGCCAATGAAATAAATTGTTGACTATTTTTGATTGAAAAGAAAGACAATTTCAAGTTGTCTAAACTACTTTATTCAAGATAACCTTTGTAGGGAAACTGATTTTTAGGTTATATATAAACAAGGAAGAAATTCATTTTTCAATGAATACCCAGATAAATATTAAAATATCTTCTGTGAAGCATCTTACCTTGGCTTTCAGATCAGCACACAACTCTTGTTGCTTTTTTCTGTCTTTCACCAAGCTGCTTTCCATTTCATAAGCTACACAGGCCTCAGCAAGGGTCAGCAGAGCCTTCTGTATAAAGTCTTCCCTATGCTTATGCCAATTTGACATCAGGATCCTTCGCTGCTCCTGAGCAAAGTGATATCGGTCATAATATTTCTCATGTTCAACCTAAAAATGATAGACACTATCAAAATAAGCCTTTGTTTTGCAGCATAGTTATAAAAATAAGCACAATGAATTCTGACCAAAGATTTTGTTAAAACTTGGGACAGGTATCTTCATAGTAAACAGAGGAATCAGAAACCAAGAACTAGCTTCAGAGTGCTGAATCCCTGGATAACTAGTGACTGCAGACAAGATTCAAAATTCACATCTCCAAATCCTTAGTTTCCCAATATCGGATGGAGTCAGAGCAGGTGGTTTTTAAAATAACCTTTTCTTAAAAATATCAATGGTGCCTTAAGCATAAAGCAATTTTCCACTCATACAACTTTTAAAGTAACCTGGTTTTGTTTAGTTCTAATTTAATATAATTTAGTTTTAATATTTTAACAGCTGCATTCAAAGTCTGTTTGACAACGTGCTAAATTATATAAAAGATTATTGTAATCTTTTTTATTGTAATAATTCTGAGCAATCAGCTTTGCATTTCACTGCTGAAATACTGACATTAGGATATTTAAATACAAAATCATGGCAGCAGAGATGCTTAGCTAGTTGCATCCTAGGAACAGGATTTCCTCACATACACAGAAGAAGCTCGAGGAGATCTCCGACACAAGAGGTGCCAGAGGCTTTGAGAGAAGACCAGGAGTGAAGAGCGCTTGAAATAATTGTTGGCTTTTCAGGCTCAGAGCCATTTACCTAATTAGTTTTCTGTTGGCTAGTGTAGACCACAACTCTGAATTTGATACATTATCTAATTCCTTCACAGCATGGAAAAAGAAGCAACAAGCAAGATAAGGTAGGTACCCCCCCAAATATATAAGAAATGGTTAATATACAATGAAGCCAACTACAGTCTCAACCCAGGTATAAACTACTAACATCTATGCCATGAACGGCTTAGCTTTGTACTATAATACCAAAAGCATGTTTAGCATCTGTCAGACATTCAGAAAAGCAGCCTACTTCCCTGAAGCCCTACTCACAACAGCCAAGACATGGCATTAACCCAAAAGTCCACCGATAACTGACGAGGCAAAGAAAATGTGGTACATATGACTGATAGAATGCCATTTTTAAAAAGTAAAATCCAGACATTTACAGCTAAATGGATAAAACTAGAGATTGTTAAGTGAAATAAGCCAGATATGGAAAGACAAACATCACATGTTCTCTCTCACGTGAAGGCTTTTTTGAAAACAAAGTTGATCCAACTGCAGAATAGTGGTTACTACTGGCTAGGAATAGTGGGTGAAGAACAGATAGATTATGGGCCCAGGAAACGTAACCAGCAAAACTTTCCTTTGTCTTTGAAAATCAAATAAAATTCTTCCACAGTAAAGAAAAGTTAAGATTATGCCTCTTCCAAACCTGCCCTACAAAGGGCACTTAAAGATGTTCTCTTGACAGAGAAAAGGAATAGCACCCACCAAAACCAAAGGCAAATGTGAAGAACATCCCAGTAAAATGACAACAGAAGACTAAATCAATGGAGAGTCCCTTTGCTAAAATGACAGAACCAAATTACCACTCATTCATATTAACCCTGAATGTAAATGGATTAAACTCATCAATCAAACATCATAGATCAGTAGACTGGATTCAAAAGCAAAACCCATCTATTTTTTGCCTTCAGGAGACACACTTCACCAACAAAGATCAGCAGAAACTATATCTCATAGATTTTATTTCTGTTTTGCTTCATCTGTTCAAAACACCTTCTCTCATTAAGTGAGAATAAAGACAGCCTCTAAGAAGTTTGGAACACTATTGAACAGATGTTCAATTTGTGAAGATTCTTGAGGGCAAAAAAGAGGAATTCTGGCTTAGGAACCTATCCAATGATGCAATAGTTAGAAACTTCCAGAATATGCAGAAAGGCATGGACATCCACCCACAAGAAGTCCACAAGGCCCTAAATAGACATAATCAGAAAGATTCTGAACTACAACACATCATAGTCAAACTCTCACAAGCACAATTTAAAGAAAGAAGTCTAAGATTTACAAGGGCAAAGTTCCAAATCACATTTGAAGCAAACTATTATAATAACAGATAACATTCAGCAGATATCTTACTGGCCAGGAAGGAATAAAAGAGTGTATTCCTAATTCTGAAAGTAAATGACTACCTATGAAGAGTATTTTACTGAGGGAAGTTGTGTTTCAGAAATTAAGGAGAAACAAAAAATTTGCAAGAAAGCAAAAGTTGATGGAATATATCATCACCGATCAGCCTTTGAAAATATATTTAGGGGAAGCCTCTATGTAAAAGCAAATGAAGTACAACAGCAATTATGAAAACATATGACAGGATAAAATCCATGACAGGAAACCAATAATGTAATCCCAGAGGTTATGCCACAACTTCTCACGTCCTATTGCCCATCAGAGTTCCAATTTGAGCAATAGCTATTCCACTTTCCATCCAAGTTCCTGCTAATGTGCCTGCAAAAGCACTGGGTCATGCCAGAAGTACTTGGGCTCCTACCACCTGTGTTGGAGACCAGGCTGTTGTTCCTGGCTCATGGCTTCCACCTGGTTCAGGCCTGGCTGTTACACCCATTTTCGGAGTGAACCACAAGATGGAAAATTCCCTCTACCTCTCCATTGCCTTGCCTTGCAAATAAATAAGTAAAATCTTTATAAAATGCAATACAGAAAACCGACAGAAAAAGTACATTCAAAATACACAAAAGAACTTGTTTTAACTTAGTGTTAAATCATTACTTGCTACTGATTATCTCTGACTATAAATAGGCTAAATTCCTCAATTAAAAGATGCAGACTGGGGCCCAATGCAGTAACCTAGTGGCCAAAGTTCTCGCCTTAGATGTACCAGGATCTCATATGGGTGCCAGCTTGTATCACAGCTACCTTCCATTCCAGCTCTCTTCTTGTGGCTAGGAAAAGCAATGAAGGATGGCCCAAAGCCTTGGGACCTGGCACCTGCATGGGAGATCCAGAGTTAGCTCCTGTCTCCTGGCTGAAGGTCTTGGCTTCAGATCAACTCAGTTCCAGGCATTATGGCCACTTGAGAAATGAACTAGCAGATGGAATAATTTTCTCTCTGTCTCTACATCTCTCCCTGTGAATCTAACTTTCCTTAAAAAAAATAATAAATCTTAAAAAAGATGCAAAATGGATGAATGAGTTAAAAGATGAAAACACTAATGCTGCATGCAGAAATACACTTCATCAATAGGCACTCATACATACTAAAAGCAAAAAAGATGGGAGAAAATATTGCATATAAACAGAAACCAAACACAAAAAGGAAAAGTTACACTTGCATCAGACAAAACAGATTTTAACAGAACAACTGTGAACAGAAAAAGTAAGTTATTAATGACTCAGGGATTAATTCAACAAGCAGATATGGGGCAGGCATTTTGGTGTAATAAGCTAAGCTGGTGCTTTGGGCACCCACATCCCATGATAGATTACTGGTTCAAGTCCTGGTTATTCCACATCCAATCCAGCTCCATGTTAATCTGCTTGAAAAGCAGTGGGTGATGGCTCAGGTACTTGGGTTCCTACTACCCACATGGAATATATAGGATACCTGGGTTCCTGGCTCCTAGCTTTTGCCTTCTCTAGCCCTGGCTATTGTGAGCAACAGTGAGGTAGACCAGTAGGTAGATCTCTCTCATGTGCTTGTTTGCATTTGTTCTTTCTGTCGGTGTGTGCATACATGCATGAGTCTCACTCTGTATTTCAAATAAATCTTTTAAAAAGCAAGATGCATGTATGTACACTTTATGCCTGTTGCTCAGTTTAATAAAACATTATTAGATCTAAAGAGAAAAATAGGAACCAACACAATAAATGACTTCAACAACCCACTTTCATTAATGCAGAGATCATCCAGATTTTAAAAAGAGTAGAAAAAATGTCAGAGTTAAACTACACCATAGACTAAACAGACCTAAGACATTAGCACAGCATTCCAATGAATAACTAGAGTATACATTCCTTTTATTAGCACATGGAACAATCTCTGGGATAGACCACAAAGCAAGTCTCCACCAATTCGAAAACACTGAAGCATATCAACCACTTTTGTGATCATAATGGAATAAAACTAAATGTTAATGACAAATGAAATTCTAGGAACTATACAAATACATGGAGATTGAGTAACACATTATGAATAAACAATAGGTCTTTTAAGAAATCAAAAGGGAAATTTTAAAATGACTTGAGAGAAATGAAGATATAAAACAACATACCAAAACTAAGAGAGATACTGAAAAAGGAGAAAAGATGGAAAATCATAGCAGTAACTACATAAAAATAGACTTCAAATAGACAACGTAACAATGCATCTCCTAAATCTAAAAAACTCAGAGCAAACAAAAAACCCACCTTAAAGATGAAAGAAATAATAAATAACACTGCACAAGTAAATGAAACAGGAACTAAAAATTTCAAAAGATCAATGGAAAGTTGATTTTAAAGAACAAAATCAATGAATATTTAGCGAGACCAGGAAAAAAATAAAGACTCAAAATGAGATGAATATGCAGATATTGCAACTTACACCGCAGGAATAGGAAGGACTATTAGGAAGTGTCAATAAACTCGAATACCTGGAAGAAATGTAATCATTTCTGGATACAAATAACTTACTGAACCATGAAAATGTGGAAACTTGGAACAGGCTAATAAGAAGTAATGAGATTGAATCAGTAATGAAAAGTCTCCCAAAAATAAAACCTCATTGCTGAATCTGCTGAAACTGACAAGGAATAACTGACAATAATAGGAAGAAGAAGGAATGCTGATTTTAGCCACAGGAAGATATAAGGGAGGGACAAAAATGGAAATACCACATTCCCTGGAGATAGCTGGAAAAATATTTTCCATGGAGAGCCCACAGAGCAGAGACCCTGCAGAGCACTGAGGTAAGCAGCACACTACCGGTGACTCCCACAGCCAGAGCCCACCAAGGAAATGCTGTCCTCAGAGTAAGGCAAGAGGAAGCTATGACAGCGCGTGGTT